CCCTCCTCTCTCCCACTCCTGCTCTGCTGTCCTTGCTGGGACGTTGGGGCTGGAATCAGGCTTTGGAATCCCGCTTGGCCAGACAGGACAAGAGCCGCCTGTCCCCGGAGAAGCAGGACTAAGAGGCTCTGAGAGTCTCAGGTCCCAGGCCCAACTCCAAGCGTGTGCAAGCCGTCACCTTGGTGCACACCTTAGTTTCTCCATCTGTAAAATGGGAGTGGCGGCTCCAGTGATTTTCAAACTTTAAATTAATAATAATTTGTGATTTTCAAATTTTAAAAGCTTTCTTTTCCTCTTTTGCCATAAAACGTTTCTTCAAACAAAACTCTCCAGGGAAGGCTGCTGAGTAAAACACACCAGAGCGGAGCCAGTCTTGGGGGTGATAGGGGTTTGGGGGCTGGGAATCCAGAGCCAGGCCATGGGTGAGCTGTCCCCAAGTTCCTCCCCACCTTGGGGTTCCAGGAGCTGCTCATCCTAGGACTCTCTCAGTGCCTGCCCACACCCAAGAACCAGCCCCACCAGGTACCCCTGCCTCATCCTGGGGTCCGGAGATACCCTCGCTCCAGGACCTGAGGGGAGCACCCGTCTGCCTGCAGCTCCCACCGTGTGATTGTGGAGCACTTCATGAACCGTACCATCACCACGCTGGCCAAGGACACGCCGCTGGAGGAAGTGGCCAGGATCGTGACCTCCACAGACATGGCCAAGTTCTTCCTGGTGGAGAGCACAGGTGCCCAGCAGGAAGGGGGGAGCACGGGTAGGGAGGGGGCATTCCCTCTACCTTTGTCTTTGGCCTTCGAGGGTCAGGTCCAGGAAGGGGGAAGCAGGGCATTGGACCTGCTAGTCACCTGCATCTGAACCTTATCTCTGCAACGGTGCACCTGTGGGCAGGTCATTTCACCTTTCTGAGCCTCAGTTTCCGCACTGGTAAAATGGAGACAATGACCTCCCTAACTTGGGGTGGTCGACGTGTTTAAAAGAGATGAGAGGAGGCTTGTAAGGCACTCCAGGGGTAGCTTTAGGAATTCTAGAAGCCAGGCCTGGTGTGCTTGGGAGTGGGGGTAAAATGATGGGAACATGAGGTGTCGAAAGACTCCTTACCTGGGCCTCTCCTTCAAGCATTCCTCAGCTAACTCACCTCTCCTGAAACCCTGTTGCCATGAGAAAAATGTCTTTTTAAAGAAAAATGAATGAGTGCTTTTGTGGAAAGGACACACAAGCTGAATCTTGGGGAACTATCTAGCGAGAGCCTCATTTCTCCATTGGGACAAGTACAGTAAGAATAAGAAAGATTTGGGTGGAGGGAGGCAGCCATGTCCACTCAGGGCCGCTGTCAGCCCACATGTGCAAGGTACATACTTGGCAGGCATAGAACAGCTGGATTTTGAGTCCTACTCATCCTTTGGGCAGTTACCTTGTTCAGTGAGCAACCTGCCCAACTGTATGGGTTACCCCTCATACCTCCTCCCCCTCAAGAGGCCATAAAGCCATTTACGAGCAGCAGAACCGTGGGCAAACCCTGTAAGCTCTCTGAAGTGCAGTTTCCCCACCTGGGAAATAGAGACCAACATGGAGTTGTCAGAGGTTCTCATCCCAAATGCCAGGCCCTCTCCCCACCCAGATTGGGATACCGTTAACATTATCCCACAGAATACACCAAATATGCCATTTTGGAAATATTTGCATATGGATGACTCCTCCAAGAGGCTTGACCTCCTGGAACAAAGACAAAATTGGCCTCTAAGACAAAGTCTGCTTCTACCCTTAGAGCCACAGGAAGCAAAGAGCTCCCCAACCAGCACAGGCCCAGGCTATGGGACCCTGATGCTCACCAAGAAATTGTTGTTGTTTTTTAACGGGAGAGCATCTCTACGTCTAGCTGTGAGGTTTTGATTTTACCTGACAAGAAGGAAAAATGCCAGGCTGCCCCCTCAAAACCTGCCAACTCCGGCGATAGCCCGGAGTGAGGCTTGCCAAGCCCTCAGCCCACAGTAGGACCTCAGAGCATGATGGCCTTCGGGGTTCACACTTCCACTGGGCTGAGACACATGTGAAATTTTTTTGTGGGAAATGAGGGGCAAAGCCCAGGCCTGACGCATGGATGTCTTCATGCAGTGTCCCAAACCCGCTCATGCCTTGAGACTCTGCCGCATGGGGAATCAGGGTGGGCAGGTGACCTCTCGGCCCCCTGGCAGCCTTACCCAGCCGCCCTCAATTACCCCACCTCCACACCAGCTCAGTGACCTTGGGCAGGATGATTAACCTCTCCGTGTCTCTGAGCCTCAGCTTCCTCTTCTGTAAAATCCGCGGCAATAGCTCCCGACCCAGAGGGCTGCTGTAGGTTCCTGAGGGACATGGGAATGCCTGGTACGGTTCTTGGCACACAGTCGCTGCCCAGTAAATGTGTCTTCTTCCTAATGTGGCTCTCTCCCTCTCCACTTGTGCAGAGTCTCAGATCCTGGTGGGCACGGTGGGAAGGGCCCACTTGGTGCAGGCACTCCAGGCTGAGCCACCTTACTGGGCTTCAGGACGCCAGGTGAGTACTCGTGTGGGGTGTCAGGATGGGGAATGGTGAGCAGGGGAGTGAGGGGGACGCCTCTGGGAAGGGTGCTTTGAGAGGGACAGCCTGGAGGAGGCAGAGGCTGGCCCAGGGCCCCATAATCCTTCCTCCACCCCCAGCGGTGTCTCCAGGACATCTTGGCAGGGGGCTGTCCCCTGGAGCCAGTGACCCTGCAGCTGACCCCAGAGACCTCTCTGCACCAGGTAATGGGTTCAGGCAGACAAGGACAGTGGGATAAAGGGGAAAGAGCCTAAGAGGGGAATTTAGGGTCTAGCTTTCTTGGCACCCTGTGGCTCTCTGGGTCTGTATCCTCATCTGTAGAATGAGCAGAGTGGTCCTTGTCCTCTCTGTCCCTCATTCCTAGGGATCTTGGGATGATGCAAAGACTAGGGAGGAGGGAGAGCTTGGGTGGAGAAAGACAGTAGTTAAAAATATGTTTTTGCATATGAGGGCCCATGTGGGTCTCAATTTCAGGTCTCCTACATTCTCCCTGTGTGATCCATGTGGGCAGATTACCTGGTCACTCCGAATGCTGATCCCTCCCTACCCTGCACAACAGGGGCTTTGGCACATGGGGTTGGGAGGGGCACTAGCAGGTTGAGGACCGTGCAGGCGGCCTCAGCTCCTCTGTGGAGCCCGAGGATCTCCCTAAATAAACCGGTCCTGTCCATTGGTCCCTCGTGTGGACTCTGGAGACCCCAGGTGGCCGCAGAGGACATTGCGGGCCCAGGTCCATTACTACACCCCGCCCCTTTCCCAGGCTCTAAGACAGGGGCGTGGGGACAGAGCCCTGGCTGGAGCCTCCACCTCGGCTCACAGCCCCGGGGGCGGGGGCGTGGGAGATACTGAAGCCAGGGGTGTGGACTGAGCACCACTTGTCCTCTGACGTTTGCTGACCACTCCTCCTCCAGGCACACAACCTCTTTGAGCTGTTGAACCTTCAGTCCCTCCCTGTGACGTCTCTGGGCAGAGCTGTGGGCTCCGTGTCTTGGGTGGAGGTACGAGGGCCCCAGGGTCAGAGCCAGGCAGAGGAGCCATCCTTCAGCAGGTGGGGTGGCCGTGTTGGGGGGGACACCAGTATCCTCCCATCCAAATTTAGAGAGGCCTCATTGGATTCTAACGAGCCCCACTTTTTGGCCTAGAGTGCCTGGCTGTGGCTTTGTGGCCCCTGGCCAGCCCCGCCATTCCCTGGGCCTAAATGATCCCATCTGTGCAGTGGGGAGGCCCTGGCTTTAACATCTACCCCCGGAATCAACCCTGAGGGCAGCCAGACAATGCTGGAATCCCCACTCTCAGCCTCCCCTACACCCTCCCTCCCCCAAACCCCTCTTTCTCTGTTCTAGTTGAAGAAAGCAATTTCTAACCTGACAAACCCGCCAGCCCCAAAGTGAGCCAGCCCAGCAAGATGAAACAGGGTGGCCGGGCCACCCTGGTGAAGGAGATGGGGCAGGGACCCTGCGCCTCCTCCCCCATCACCACAGCCCCTCCTCTCCAGCCCGGCTCAGCTCCTCCTCGGGGAAGCAGGCAGCGCTCACCATGCTCCATCCTGGGTGGCACGAAGCGCTCCATCCCGCAAAGGACAAATCCCACCCTGGACCGAGCAGGATGCGAGACCGCAGAAAGCCAGTGGACACTGGGTGCTCATTGCAGTCACCAAGTCCACAGTGAAGACATTGGTGTACGGCTGTCACCGAGGGTGGGCACAGATGCCCTGTGAGGGCTGTGGGACTCCCAACCAGAGGCTCCAGAGAAAAATAAAGCTGGTTCCCAGAAAAATAAAGCTGGTTCCCGGAGCTGTAGATCTTCTCTCAGCTCTGAGGGTGTGGACCGATGTGTGCGGGCCCTGGGCGAGCTCTTGGGGCCCCCTGGTGGCCACGTAGGCATCGCAGGCCTGGGACCCTGGCTTCCCACGGCTGGCCTGTGCCCCCTCCGTGGCTGGGAGACAGGGTAGGAGACCAGGCCCCCCACCAGGTCTTATGCTGCTTGTCCTCATGTATAGGAAGGACCTTCTGGGCCCCAGTGGCTCAGCGGTTTAGCGCCACCTTCGGCCCAGGGCCTGATCCTGGAGACCCGGGATCGAGTCCCACGTCGGGCTCCCTGCATGGAGCCTGCTTCTCCCTCTGCCTGTGTCTCTGCCTCTCTCTCTCTCTGTCTCTCATGAATGAATAAATAAAATCTTAAAAAAAAAAAGAAGGACCTTCACCCAAGCAACAGCTCACCTGGCAGCTGAGCCAGGCTGATAAAGCAGCATCCCTGGGTGTCTCCTGGGGGCTCCGCAGAACCTTGGGCATCTTCTGTGGGGACTCTCCTGGCTGGGTGGCAGTAGGTCGACCACCTGTATGTGTGTTGGGGGGTAGGGGTCCTCCCCCAAGTCCCTCTAGAACCTCCTTACCCCAGGGGCCCAAGGACACACCTTTCCCCAGAGACAAGGCCGAGTTCATCCAGGTGAATCCACCACTTTAATGTCTGCAGAGAACCTTCAGGGAGGTGGGAGGGGGGTGCGAGGAAGGGGGCAGGGGCACCAGGGAGCAGGTACAGAGAGTGAGGGACGGACAGACGCTCCAAAGACGGAGATCCTCGTGAAGGGAGCTGAGGAGCAGACACTTAGCTACCAGAGAGGTGGTCCCACCTCTGATGGGAGACACAAACACGGAGGGAGGGGAGGACAGGGCCCCGGGCTCAAGGCAGGGTCTCCGGGGCCCCACTCCAAGTGGGTCTCCCAGGTCCTTCTGTGGCTGGCTGTCCGCTGCGGGCTCCCCCGGGCAGCTTGCCCTGTGTCTGCTGAGGGTCCTGGAGCTCAGGGAGGACAGAAACCCTGCAGGGGAAGGTGCTCGCTGGGGCCAGGTGAACAAAGAAGGGGGATTATGGCTCCCACTGCCGGGGCAGGTCCCCGGAGGCACAGAATGGTCCGCAAGGAGTGCTGGCCCCCGTCCCCACCGCACCCACCCTCTGCCTGCCCTGAGGGGCCAAGAAACACCGAGCCCGGACCCCAGTGTCCTGATCCGCCTGGGCAGCCCACCGGCAGGGTCACAGTATGAAGAGGCTCCGGGGCATACAGCCCCCTCCTCAGTTATAGAACACCTCGTCCTCCTCCTCCTCCTCCGAGAGGGAGATGCTGTCCACCGAGGGGAGGGATCCCTGCAGACGGGCACCACCCTCAGGCCCCGGGCCTCGAGGCAGCCGCTGCCCATGCTGCGGTTCGGGGCTGGGGGGCTGGGCGCCCACAGCTGGTGTGATGGGGGGCTCGTTGGGTGAGGGCCAGCCATCGGGGGAGAGGCCAGGGGAAGAGAAGGCCAGAAGACTGTCATCCTGCGACGGGCCGCTCAGAAGACTGTCCTGAAGGTAGACGCTCTCCAGGTCTGGAAAAGCAAAGGGAGGGGTAGAGGGGTGTGAGGCCCGGAGCCCCAGGCCCTGCTCCTCACCCTCTCCTGGCGAGTGAGAGAAAGTGGGGGGCGGAAGACCGGCCTCCCAGGCCTGCTGTGTCACTGCCGAGCTGTGTGGCCTCAGAAAAGTCGCTGAACCTCTCTGAGCCTGTTTCTCCCTGGGGGCTACAGGGGTGGTGGAGTGAGGGCCCGGTGAAGCCCTCAGGAGTAACCTGGAGTTCCAGAAAGGTGGTCTGTCGTGCCTGGTATGAAGGTTCAGATCCTGGCTCTGAGGGGCACCTGGGGGGCTCAGTGGTTGAGCGTCTGCCTTTGGCTCAGGTTGTGACCCCGGGGTCCTGGGATCGAGTCCTGAATCGGGGTCCCCGCAGGGCACCTGCTTCTCCCTCTGCCTACGTCTCTGCCTCTTTCTCTGTGTCTCTCACGAATAAATAAATTTTTAAAAAATGGAGATCATAACAGGGCCTACTTCTCAGAGGTGTGGGGAGGATGAAGTGAAACGGCAAGTGTAAAACACGTAACACGGTGAGCACTTAGTTCCTGACCTCCTGTTATCATGCCTACGGCGCCCCGTGGGCAGTGGGCAGGGCAAGGCTCCCGGGCCCATCCCACAGATGCAGAAACCAAGGCTGAAGGGCGGGGGGGGCGGGGGCTTGTCTGAGGTCACGGTGCATCCGGTGGCTGGGACCCCCCACCTGCTCCGCTCCACCCACCCCGCCCCGGCGCCCACCCAGGCGGTACCCTGGAGCTGGACGATGTCCTGAGGGCTGTTCTCGGGGTGCAGCTCCTCGTCGTCCAGCGAGGACCAGGCGCTCAGCGTGGCTTCTGTGATAGCAAACTGCTCAGCAACCCCTGGGGGTGGGTGGGTGGGGACAGCGAGACCCAGCTCAGCGGGGACGCAGCAGGGGGCGGGGGGCACCCTCAGCGCCTCCACGGGCTGGCCCCGACCACCTCGCGCTCAGCCGGGCAGTCCATCTGCGCCCACCCAGCGCCCCGGCCACCCCACGGCACTGATTTGCTCTACCTTGACAACACCCGTGTGGCGACCCTCGGACCCCTAAGGACCAGAGTCCCAGCCAGTCCCCGTCCCCAGGCTCCCCTGCCCCCACCCGCGGACCTGCGGCAAAACGGGCCTCGCGCAGCTCATCCGGCAGGCAGCAGTAATGCTCGTCGTCGGCGGGGGACAGCTCCCAGCCTGACCGCTGGGCACGCCAGCCCTTCCACTCGATGAGGTGGGCCACGCGGCCACGCGCCATGGCTGTGGGCTTTGTGATGTGGTCCTTGATGCTCTGCACCACCCCTGCGAGCACGGAGGGCAGCGAGTGACCACTCTGACACCAAACCCAGCCTCGGGCCCCACCTCCCCTGCCCCGGGCCCCCCGGTACCTCAGCCCCATCTTGTGGCCTGTACCCCACAACCATTCAGCGCTCGTACTCACCCAATGCCCCGTGTCCTCACAGCCTCATACCTACGGAGCCCTGACTCTATGCAAGTCCTCCTGCCCAACCGATGCCCGGGCCCACTTTGGGCCTGACCCACCCCGAGGCCCAAGGCCCCACCTCACTTAGGGGCTCCCTACCCCTGTGGAAGCCCCATGCCCTCCCAACATCCTGCTCTCAGGCAACGGTCCCCTCCACCTGGTGCCTCTTCCCAGACCTGTCACACCCCTCATTCCCTTTGAGCATGTTCAGACCCTTCTGTCCCAGAAGTTCCCTTCAAGGATCCACTCGAGATCCCCCCAGCCCTCTCCCTTTATCCATGAATTAACACGTTCTGAGGAAGCACCCCTTGTGCCAAGGCCAGTGCCAGCTCTGCTGAGGGGGAGACCTGTGTGGGATGCAGCAGGCTGGGAAGGCTTCCTGGAAGAGGTGGACTGGAGTTAAGCCTTACAGGTAGGTTGGTAGGCTTGTAGGTGCACTGGACAGATGGAGGCAAGACTGGAGGCTATTTCAGAGATGAGACGAGGAGGAAGGCATGGCGGATTCGGGCATGGTTCCAGGACCGCCAGGGCTGAGACGGGGGTGGAGTGGGGTGGGGGCACTAAGACTGCGGTGACAGAAGAGGCCGGGGAGCCCGTCGGGGGTGACACTTAGGGCTGAGAGAGCCAAGCTGAGGACTCCAGAGCTTTCCTTCTAGCAATGGGGAGCCATGGCAGGGTAATGAGCATGAGTGTGACAGGTTAGATCTGTTGTTGAGGAAGAGCATCCTACGAGGGGATGGGGCCAAGGGTGAAGATGGGGCTCTATCAGGCACCCCTGGAGAAATCCAGCCAGAGAGGAGGCAGGGGCTGGGCAGTGGGGAGGCAGGCCCGAGGGGCTCTCGGGGGTAGGCCACCTGGATGCGGACGCGGACCCAGAGGGCCGTCAGGGATGCTTCAGTGTCTCTCCCCGGGGAGATGTGAGCCTGAGGTACGTGCAACAGGGTTGTGAGCAGAGCCGGCCGGCCGAGAATGGCCTGGAAGGGGTTGCTGTGGGTGACCCGGGGCAGAGGCTATGGTGGCCCCCGAGCCCCCTCTGCTGGCCCGCGTGCCCACCTCCCAGCAGGTGCCACTGCCTCCGGCCTGCAGCCCTCTCCGGAGCCTTGCCCTTAGCTGCCGGGAGCGGCCTCACTGGAGAGCCCGGGGGGGGGGGTGGGAGAGCCGATGGCAGGTGGCAGCCACGCAGCCGCCAGCCTCCACGCCTCCGGCTGCAGTTCAGCTCTGCGCCCCCACAGCGAGGGACGAGGGTGGGTCATGCTAACGCCAAGGCGGGAGGGGGCAGTGGAGCCTACCCACAAGGGACGAGGTGGCCAGAGCCGCCACGTTGTAGTTGCTGGAGCAGGACCTGGAGTCGGACAGGTAGCCGTTGGTGGTCTGGAAGCACCTCTGCGGGCAGGAGAGGAGGGGTGAGGAGGGTGGAGCAGACCCGCCAGATGCCACCTCCCCGCCACTACCATCCCCAGGAGGCCCCCTCCCCAGGGGGCCTGCCCACTCCACAGGCCCGACCCCCCCCCCCGCTGCTGCCACCAGGGCCGCCCCCCCATGGCACCGCAGAGTGACGGGCAATGGTGTCAGCTGCGGCTGGCTAGACGGGGGTGGGCAACGTGCACTGACCTGCCAAGGATCCCAACAGAAATCCATCTGTTTGTCCTAAAACAAGAGGAGAAAGAGGGTCAGGCAGGGCCCGGCACCCAGTGCCCGCAGCTGGCACACGTCCCAGAGCCCCGGGGGGTGGCGTGGGCCAGCCCTCTGCTACTCCCTGAGGCCCCGGGTCTGTCTCCTCACGGGTCCTGCCCTGGCGTTCCCTTCTCATGCAGACAAAGACGTGCGGCAGGGGATGGGCCGCGGCGCCTCTGCCAGGAAGGCAGGGGGGACGGGGGTAGCTTAGATCTGGGTTCGAGTTCTGACTCTGCCCTTTCTACCTGGGTATTCTTACACTAGTGCCTTAGCAGCTCTGAGCATCCGTTTCTTCCTCCGTAAAACGATGATAAATGTCATTTACCTCAGGGGTTGTGGTGAAGCAAATGACATAACGTGGGCAAAGCGTCTAGCATAACACCTCGCATGTGGCGTGTGCTTAAAAAAAAAAAGTAATTATATGAACCAGTAGGTTCAAGCCACAACCTCTGGGGGTGGGGGTGGAAACGATACACCCCAGGAAGATATGAGGCCCCTCACCAGCTCTTCCCGATACATCTGGAAAAAGAATGCCACTCTTGGGGAGCCTGGTGGCTCAGTCGGTAGAGCACGTGGCTCTTAATCTTAGGGTTGTGAGTTTGAGTCCCACGTTGGGTGCAGAAATGACTTAAATAAATAAACTTAAAAAAAAAAAAAAAAGGACGCCTAGGTGGCTCGGTGGTTGACCGTCTGCCTTTGGCTCAGGGTGTGATCCTGGAGTCCCAGGATCGAGTCCTGCATCAGGCTCCCTGCATGGAGCCTGCTTCTCCCTCTGCCTGTATCTCTGCCTCTCTCTGTGTCTCTCATAAATAAATAAATAAATAAATAAATAAATAAATAAATAAACAAACAAACAAACAAACAAACAAATAAATAAATATTAAAAGAGAGAATGAGAGAGAGAATGCCACTCCTTACCCTCCAGAGGGCAGGGCAGGCTGCTAAGGGGTGGTGGGCTGGTCAGGGAACTTGTTATCTGCAAAGCTGAGTTAATTTGGGTGAAAAGGCCTCAAAGGTAGGATTCTTCTGAACAAGCCTGGTCCAGTCCCTGGATGCCCAGCCCAATTCAGACCTTCATCCACATGCAGACCACACATCAGGGACTCTAATCCCACAGCAAGTAGCCCACGAGGGAAAACTGGAAGAGTCTGGGCTCGCCGTGGAACAGTGTAGGGGACATCCCAGGAACCAGGGCCCAGGCAGGGGTGAGGGTGGGGAGCAAGAGGGACCAGTTACCTTGCCAGTGACATGGTCTGGAGCAATAGTAGGGTGGTGCCCGGAGGGCAAGTCCGGGTTCAGGGGGTCCGTGCCCTGGGGCATGGGACAGTCCTTGTGGGCACTTGTGAACAGATCTGGAAAAACAATGACAGGAGGAACTTAGAAAAAGGAAAAAAAAAAAAAAACCCATACTTTCCTCCTTATGAAGCTTGTTCAGGCCAGCCCCGAGGGATGGGCCTACTTTGCTGTCACCCGATGAAACAGGGTGTCGTCGTGTAGAAAAGAGACCCAAGCCCACGGCACGTGAGGCGTCCAGCCAGATCTGCCCCTGCCTGGTGCCCTCAGTGGGAGTCCTTCCCCCTCGGCCTGTTCTCCATTTTCTTTAATTCTAGCACCCACCCTGGGCCAGCCACGACCACCTGGCACAGCCTACAAGCTCTCCCCCACAGATGCCCTCGGCTCCCAGCCCCGTCTGGTCTCACCCTCTGCCGGCCCCAAGCCTGGGCTGCATGTCGCCGGCCTCACACGGGACGTGGTCCGGGATCCTTCTACAGGGCTCCAGGCCCCGCTGTTTGCTTCCCGCCAGGCTGCCTACCCGCGCGGCTCTCCTTCTCAAACCCCTGGCGGATGCGGGGCAGCACCCTGCCTGCACCTGCTGCTGGCTGCTCTCCCTCCCTCACTGAGATCCAGAAGCTTCCACAGGCCTCGCCCCACTTTCCCACCTCAAATCATCGCCCTGGCCGCATTTTGCCCAGACCATCTGCTTTCCCTCCTGTGACAAAGGAAGAACTGTCCCTACTCCATCCAAGACCAGCTCCCCTCGCTCTGGGGGCCCCCCAGCCTGGCCTGCCTCCCCCCACCACTGCCCTGCACTCTCTCTCCTCTTCTCTCCCCGTCTGCTGTGTCTCCCTCTCGGCCACCAGCGTGGCAGGTGCCACAGTGTTTCTCCAGTTGGGGCTCTTGCCAGCATCCCTGCTTCCCTGACACCCACCATCGAGTCCCCCACCACTGGGTCAGCGCCCGGCACCCAAACAGCCCCAGCATCTCCCATCCCTTAGAGACCTCCCAGGCCCTGCTTCCCCCCCCCCCAGTTCCATCCGTGCCCGCTCCTCTGCCCACTTCTAGGCCACACTTAGGGAGACTCATGTCCGACCTCTGCTTTCTCCTCCACCCTCTCCGGGCAGCCTTTCCTGGGACAGCCTTGGCTCACGTGGCCAAGCCCAGGGGTGACTTCTCGGGTCTCCTCGCTGGCTTCTCAGCATCCCTGGGACACTGCGCCTCCCCCCCTCCAGCCCCGCCCATCTCAGGGCTCCCCCACCCCTTCTCTGCTCCAGCCTGGCCCCTTCTCATCTCGGGGTCCCTCCCAGGACACCTAACCCAAGTGCAGCCGATGCCCACGTTTATATCCGCAGCCCTCACTGAATTGCCAGGATGCCCGAGAGCCTCTCAAGGAAACCCGGGCCCATCTTCCTCCACTTCTCCGATTTTAGAAAATGATGCAACAGCCCACCCAGCTGCACCAACCAAACATCCAGTTTTCTCTCACTGCTGCCTTTCCCCCCACCAGAAAGTCCTGCTGGCTCTGTTCAGGACCTCCATTCCAGCTTAGCCCTCTCCATCCCCACCACGGCTCCCCACGGTGGGGTGGGGGTACCACCCTCTCGCCTGGCCCACTCTCCACCCTCCCTCCGCACAGGGATGCTACAGGTCTGACTGCATCTTTGCTGAAAACCTGCCACTGGCTTCCTTCCATTGCACTGGAGGCGGGGAGCCGGCCCTCGGCAGGGCCTTCAGGGGCCTGCATGCCCGCCTGCCCGCTGTGCCCGCCTGCCCGCTGTGCCCGCCACTCTGGCCTCCCTGCTGCTCCTCAAATTGTTCTTTGTCCTTTCCATCCCCAGATCTTCCTGAACCGTGTCATTCAGGTCTCAGCTCCAGGTCCCCTCCTCGGAGAGGCCCTCCCCACCCCAGTCTCTCCCCATCACCGACAAGCCTCCTTTACAGCAGCCAGCGCTCCCTGACAGTTCTGTACTGACGTGGCCAGTCCCTCCTCACACGGTGCAGGTGAGGCCATGAGAACGGAGACTATGGCAGCCGGGTGGCACAGCGGTTTAGCGCCGCCTTCAGCCCAGGGTGTGATCCTGGAGACCCGGGATCGAGTCCCATGTCAGGCTCCCTGCGTGGGGTCTGCTTCTCCCTCTGCCTGTGTCTCTGCCTCTCTCTCTCTGTGTGTCTCTCATAAATAAATGAATAAAATCCTTAAAAAAAAAAAGAGGAAGGAATTCATGGCTCAGCTTTCTAGATGGGAAACTGAGGCCCAGACGGGGATTCACCAGCTGGAGGCATCCAGCTGCACACGGCCAGCCGCCGGAAGTCAGGGTCTGAGCCCAGTTATTCTGGTGCTGAGGCTCACTCTCCTCCAAAGCACAAAAGGAATTTTGAGGAGTTCTGTGGGGGCTCCGGGCCGCAAAGGAGAGCTAAAGGGGGGAAGCTAGTGGGTGGGGGGGGGAAGGAGAGGGATGTTGTGGGCAGGGGAGTGATGGGGGAGCTAATGGGGTAGGTGCCAGGAGAGGGGTGTCACAGAACCGTGGAGTCTGGGCCGTGAGGAGCAGGGAGGCGAGGCCTCCGCAAGACCCGGGTCCCAGTCCCAACACCCTTCTTTGGTTTCAACGACCAGGAGGAAGCCGACCAGGAGGAAGCCAAGGCCAGGGAGCCTCTGTAGGCTGAGGCCAGGTGTCAGGAGCCCCCGAGGCAGGGCTGGGCGCTCGTGGGTGGGCCGTGGGTGCCGGGCTGAAGCGCCAGCGAGGGGTCTTGTGGAGGGGTCAGCAGGAGGGGAGGACGGGGCGCCGCTGAGCCCCATGCGCTCGGATCCCTGTCCTGTCCTGTGCACCCATAGCCACCCCCTGCCCCAGTCCTTCGCTCCCACCTGGCGGCACCTGGGGCCCTTTCCAGGGGAGCCGGAGCTGAATGAACGTTGCCCTCTGCGGAGACTGGAGGGGGGACCCCAGACCCCTGGCTTGGGGTTGGAACCCGGAGTCCCCCACTCAGGCCGCCTTCTCTCCGCTCCCCTCCTGGTTCCCTCCGGCAGACCTCCCTCACGTCTCCATTGTACCACAACCCTCACTTCGGGGTCTGCTCCCGAGACAAGGGGGGAGGCTCTGGTGCCAGGTCACCCCGTTCAGACGCTGCTGCCCTTCACTTCCTGCGGGACCTTGGCTGACCGCTCCGAGCCTCCATTTCTTTATCTGTGAAGTGGGCAGTGGCCTATACTTGTTCTCCAGGTCCTGCCTGCCTCCCAGGGCCCCGAACAGAACAAAGGGGCACTGGGCGCCCCACTGCCGAGGGTGGGGGGGGAGCAGACTCCCTCCCGGAGACGGCTGCCACAGGCTCTGCTACCCCAGCCTCCCACCGTCCCTCTGACTCGACCGATTGCCCCCCATGAGCCAAGTGAGGGGCTCTCGGAGACTCCCCTGCAGAGATCTGGGACGTCTGCAAAGGAGGGGCGAGCATCCCCCAGCCCCGGGTGGATGTCACGAACCCCGAGAGCAGCCTGCCCTCCCTCCCCCTGCACGGCAAGGACTGTGAGTTTCTCCAGGGTCAACAGGACACTGAGAAAGGTGCTTCCTACAAGGGCCGCCTGCAGGGCAAGGCGACCCCAGCCCCTAGAGGCTGGAGGGTGGGCAACTTTAGGGGGCATGGGAGTTGGGCAGGGGAGAGAAGAGGTTGAAGCAGGTCAGATCTCCCATGACAGGGATTGGGCCATGGGCAGGCCCCCCAAATGGCCCCTTAGGAGAACTCACACATACTAACCTGGCACCTGTGCCCCCCTGCCTTGCACTCCAGCCACACGAATCACTCAGATGCACCCAGCAGACTCCTGCCTCAGGGCCTTTGCACTGGTTGTTCCTGTCCTCTAGCTCCAACTCTCTCCTCCCACAAAGCCACAGGTTCACTCCCTCACCATATTCAGGTCTCCGTTCTAATGTCAGAACCTTCTCGAGGCCTCCAGCCACCTTGTCTAATGGTACCCATCTTTTCCTACCCCGATTTTATCGCATTCCTTTAAAAAAAAAAGATTTTATTTATTTGACACAGGGAGAGAGAGAGAGCGCGCGCACAAGTAGGAGGAGCGGAAAAAGGGGAAACAGGGTACCCACTGAGCAGAGAGCACAACGGGAGACCTGATCCCAGGACCCCAGGATCATGACCCAAGCCCAAGGCAGATGCTTAACCAACTCAGCCACCTAGGCGCCATGTCATTCCTTCTTTACGATGCCCGTCAGCACACGTTATGTGTCTGTTTCCTTGTTCACCATCTCTCACTAGACCATGAGCTCTCTGAGGGCTGGTCCTTGTCAGCTTTATTTGCCACCAGAGCCCTAGCACCTGCCACGGGGCCTGGCATGTCGCTCATTAAATTTTCCCTCAACACTGAGCCAGTGGCAGCCGAGAGAGACCACCAGAGCTCCAGATAAATAAACATCTCTGCAGGGGTCCCTGGGTGGCTCAGGTCAGGATCCCAGGGTCCTGGGATTGAGCCCCACATCGGGCTCCCTGCTCAGCGGGGAGCCTGCTTCTCCCTCTGCCTCTCCCCCTGCTTGTGCTCACGCTCGCCTGCTTGCTGTCTCTAATAAATAAATAAATAAAATCTTAAAAAAAAATCTTGGCCACTTTTTCTCAAGCTCCTCATGCCAGACTCCAACATGTCAGAGGGGAGGGAGGCCAGCAGGGGATAAAGCCGACTGTGGCCAGTCCTGGTGGGAGGCCTGAAGGGAACACTCAGCAGGACGTGAGGTGGAAGTCTCCATCCACATCGGACAGGACTCAGGATCCCTAAGGGACTGGAGAGTTCTGAGACTGGCCTGCAGACTTACAGCCCAGCAGGTGCAGGAGGTCTGGATGAGCCTGTCTGAAACCAGAATGCTGGGATCCCCGGGTGGCGCAGAGGTTTGGCGCCTGCCTTTGGCTCAGGGCGCGATCCTGGAGACCCGGGATCGAATCCCACGTCGGGCTCCCGGTGCATGGAGCCTGCTTCTCCCTCTGCCTGTGTCTCTGCCTCTCTTTCTCTCTCTGTGACTATCATAAATAAATAAATAAAAATTAAAAAAAAATTTGAAACCAGAATGTTCCAGGTCCC